GGTTGTTCTCTAATCTTTGGCTTACAGTTCAACACCTTCCAGCGTGAGAAGAGTACTGGTACAATTCAATGCATCACGTTAAAAAATAAAAAAAAAATGCAGGTAAGCACTAACTGTATTTACTCTTCAAGAGGTTCACAGGGACCTCTGACAGGTACAGGAATAACACATACAGTGTTGAACAGCCTCATTTAGTAAATTCACTGTGAAAATTCATGTTGTTGTATCTTTCAATAAACTCAGGGCTGGGGGAATTTAGCAGGAAGATTATTCCCCTGTGGACAGATGTACTTTTACTTGTAGAGGGTAGGCTTATTTTCTACAGCAGATAAATCAAGTTGCAGATCAATGCCTGAAATTTTAGGAATGAGAAGATATACCCACCATATGACTCTGAAATGTGCTTTCTGAAGGGAGGACTTTCTCTCTCTTTTTTTTCCCCCCCTGACTACAGTGTTTCTCTACTATGGATATGATTGAGTTGTTTTTAAAGGAAAATCAAAACCTGGAGGAAACTGATGAATGATCCAAAGGAATATAATGATCTGAACTAATAAAGTCAATGGAAATATTTATGTGCTTTATGTACACTGTACATAGTTTAAATATTTTAAAAGTTAATATTCTACTTGAAATGACCTGTTATTCTCTAGTAAATCCTCTTGGTACTACGATGGTTAAACTTACTAGTTCTGGTACAGAAGTTTGGTTTATAATTTTATAATAAAGTTGAAATGTGATTTAGGTAACCTTGTTTTCTGACTGTTGCCAGCAGGCTAAGAGAAAGCAGAGATCCTACAGCCAGAAAAGGCTTGGGATACCAGGTGCTTAGGTATCATTAGAGGGTGGGCACAAGTACAGAAGAGGTTGAAGGAAACAAGTTAACTGAAAACACTTAACTTTTTAGCAGTACAATCTTAACTTTGTGAAGATTACAAAGGGGAGAAGACTAAGGGAACCAGCAAACTGGACTACTCACTCGCACTCTGAGCCTTCAGGGCTCATGCAGTTATTCAGCAAATGCACATTGTCATTTGCAAAACAGTTAAAATGAACCCCTGTTTCTAAAACCTATCTTCCTTATTTCATTAATATTCAAGTACTTGCAATAGTTTTTGAGCTGCTTCAGAGAAGGAGGTCTCTCAACTATTCTAAAAGATCCAGATGGTAGAGTTCCTTTCTCAGCTTTTACTTGTTGAAACATGAATGGCGGAACACATGAGCGATATGTTCTAGAAAACAAACACTCCAAGAGGATGCTTGGATAATGCTACAGCAGTTGCTGTAATGGAAGCTTATTTGGTGTCCTGAAAAGTCAAACCAGGAGGATGCGCCTCCTTCATGTACATTGTAGCCATGCAGCAAAATTATCCCGGCAGTACAGCCAATAGTTTCACATAGTTGGTGGTGGTCTGTTTTCCTGTCCAGGCAGAGAACAACCTTCGGAAAATAAGTCCTGACAGCAAAGGAGAAACTGCTTCAGTTTTATTTCTTTATCTATAAAAATACCCAAACTTTAAAAACCCAAGGGGACTAAACCAGCACGTAGATAAGTGCATTGTTCTACATTATGGGCAGAAAAATGGATTCAGCAGTGACGTTTCTTCAGAGAGTTGTTTTAATTAATCCCGTATGGTTGCTATGGATTTTTATAACTACCGCTGATGGACTTGGACATTTTATTTCTATCCGTGTCTCCACAGAGGAATCTCACCCTTTCTTCCACCTACCTAGTTCTCAGCTGTTCCCTTCAGGCAATTCTTGTGTCAAGACTGGTCGGCTGCCCCGCATTGCTAGCATGGGGCTACCAGTCTCCGTTTCCGGATGCATTCCCAGATCCACTTGGGAGACACACGCTTAGCACCAGGATTCTCATCAATGTCCCCTATAACGTGTGTTGCTGAGGCTGTGTCAAACTCTGGCACAAGATCCCCATCATACGCTATAAAACTTTCCCTGTTCGGGTTGTTCTCTAATCTTTGGCTTACAGTTCAACACCTTCCAGCGTGAGAAGAGTACTGGTACAATTCAATGCATCACGTTAAAAAATAAAAAAAAAATGCAGGTAAGCACTAACTGTATTTACTCTTCAAGAGGTTCACAGGGACCTCTGACAGGTACAGGAATAACACATACAGTGTTGAACAGCCTCATTTAGTAAATTCACTGTGAAAATTCATGTTGTTGTATCTTTCAATAAACTCAGGGCTGGGGGAATTTAGCAGGAAGATTATTCCCCTGTGGACAGATGTACTTTTACTTGTAGAGGGTAGGCTTATTTTCTACAGCAGATAAATCAAGTTGCAGATCAATGCCTGAAGTTTTAGGAATGAGAAGATATACCCACCATATGACTCTGAAATGTGCTTTCTGAAGGGAGGACTTTCTCTCTCTTTTTTTTCCCCCCCTGACTACAGTGTTTCTCTACTATGGATATGATTGAGTTGTTTTTAAAGGAAAATCAAAACCTGGAGGAAACTGATGAATGATCCAAAGGAATATAATGATCTGAACTAATAAAGTCAATGGAAATATTTATGTGCTTTATGTACACTGTACATAGTTTAAATATTTTAAAAGTTAATATTCTACTTGAAATGACCTGTTATTCTCTAGTAAATCCTCTTGGTACTACGATGGTTAAACTTACTAGTTCTGGTACAGAAGTTTGGTTTATAATTTTATAATAAAGTTGAAATGTGATTTAGGTAACCTTGTTTTCTGACTGTTGCCAGCAGGCTAAGAGAAAGCAGAGATCCTACAGCCAGAAAAGGCTTGGGATACCAGGTGCTTAAGTATCATTAGAGGGTGGGCACAAGTACAGAAGAGGTTGAAGGAAACAAGTTAACTGAAAACACTTAACTTTTTAGCAGTACAATCTTAACTTTGTGAAGATTACAAAGGGGAGAGTGCACTCTGAGCCTTCAGGGCTCATGCAGTTATTCAGCAAATGCACATTGTCATTTGCAAAACAGTTAAAATGAACCCCTGTTTCTAAAACCTATCTTCCTTATTTCATTAATATTCAAGTACTTGCAATAGTTTTTGAGCTGCTTCAGAGAAGGAGGTCTCTCAACTATTCTAAAAGATCCAGATGGTAGAGTTCCTTTCTCAGCTTTTACTTGTTGAAACATGAATGGCGGAACACATGAGCGATATGTTCTAGAAAACAAACACTCCAAGAGGATGCTTGGATAATGCTACAGCAGTTGCTGTAATGGAAGCTTATTTGGTGTCCTGAAAAGTCAAACCAGGAGGATGCGCCTCCTTCATGTACATTGTAGCCATGCAGCAAAATTATCCCGGCAGTACAGCCAATAGTTTCACATAGTTGGTGGTGGTCTGTTTTCCTGTCCAGGCAGAGAACAACCTTCGGAAAATAAGTCCTGACAGCAAAGGAGAAACTGCTTCAGTTTTATTTCTTTATCTATAAAAATACCCAAACTTTAAAAACCCAAGGGGACTAAACCAGCACGTAGATAAGTGCATTGTTCTACATTATGGGCAGAAAAATGGATTCAGCAGTGACGTTTCTTCAGAGAGTTGTTTTAATTAATCCCGTATGGTTGCTATGGATTTTTATAACTACCGCTGATGGACTTGGACATTTTATTTCTATCCGTGTCTCCACAGAGGAATCTCACCCTATCTTCCACCTACCTAGTTCTGAGCTGTTCCCTTCAGGGAATTCTTGTGTCAAGACTGGTCGGCTGCCCCGCATTGCTAGCATGGGGCTACCAGTCTCCGTTTCCGGATGCATTCCCAGATCCACTTGGGAGACACACGCTTAGCACCAGGATTCTCATCAATGTCCCCTATAACGTGTGTTGCTGAGGCTGTGTCAAACTCTGGCACAAGATCCCCATCATACGCTATAAAATACCGCCGGATTTTGTCGAAGTCCTTCACAGAGGGCGATAGGTACAGCTTCACACCAGTGAATATGTCCAGCAGCGTCTGCGTATCGTGAAAGAGGATGAGAAGCACAGGTTGGTAAAAACATTAGATGGGTCTGGAAATTACATTAAATTCTTTGAGGCATGAACGAGTCCATGCACAGTTCCCGAGGTTATCATTCTAATCCCATGCCTGGCAACTGTAAATTGCTCTTTGGACTGCCATTAAATCATACACAAGAGCAACACCCATACAGTTCCTCTGAAAGCCAGATGTTACAGCTGAAGAGTGCTTCCTTAGCCCTAGTGAGGGGAATTATTACCCCATTGTTCCCCTTGGTGACGATGCTGATGTGGTCCAGTAAACACTGTCTTAGTCTTTGCAAGCTGATGCTTCTTAGTTAAAGTAGGAGAACATAACCGCACTGGGAGAGGAGTTGCTGACATCAAAATAGCTACTCCAGGCTTACCAGGAAATTATACCTCAGTGATTCTTAACCCAATCCTACAATTTGCTGCACAGTGGGCTAGAAAGGACAGTTCTCTCCTTTTACAGCTCCCAACTCTTCCATATGCAGCAGTCGGGAAGAGGAGCTGCTCAGCAATCACTCCACTTTGTGGAGCAGGACATTGTTGGTGGGTGAACAGGGTATCGGCCTTTAGCAGGACAAACCCAGTTACGTCAGCTCTGCAGACGGGAAAGAAGAGCTGCAGCCATCCGCTTCCTTTACAAGGGGGCTTGTTGCTGCTATTTCTGCCTTTACATTTCATTTTAATTTAGGGTGCTGCTATAGGAAGATTTCAAAGACTTTTCCAGATGGAAGGCAAAAGTGAACAGGCAATTGAAACTGCCTCTGCTTCCTCCCACCCCAAAGTGGTTGCTGCCCAGCTGTCCGTACCTTTTTTCCATTGTCGTCCATCTCAGATGCTTTTCGCTTCTCCCCTCGTTTCTCCTCTGATTTTTGAGGGGATCCAATGACTGCTTTGCTTTCTAAAAACAAAAGCTTGTCTCATTTGTGCTCTCTGTCCGGATACTGATTGTGTATTAAAGTGGG